CCTAACTTAAGTGGCTGCTTGCATCCCAGGGTTGGACCACTCTGAAAGACTTGATGATTTTTCTGGGGGTTGAGGGAGTCTTTCCTAATATCTTTCAATGGAAATTTGTTGGTGGTTTTGAGTGTTTTGGAGCCAACAATTTTTTTTTCTTTCACTTCAAGGAAAATCAATTTTTGCACCCCTCAAACATTAACAAGTAATGGTTCCAGAGGGGTAAGAATCTTCATGAATGCAGAGGGGTACTTTTTTTTTTTTTTTAATCAATTCCGAAGCTAGATATCCACTGTTAATTGCTTTCAAAAGTTAATATTTCATTAAACTTACCCTTGAAATTATATTTTTATATAATTGGCGACTATCACCACTAAATCTCTTCCCATAAAAAAAAAAAAATTTGAACTTTTTAAATTCCTTGATTTTTCACTGAGATATCCGCTGATAAAGATCATTTTCAGCAAACTTCAGGGTCATAAAAAAAGACAAAAATTGAGATTTTCATCTCCCTACCACCCCCTTGGTCTGAACAAAGGGGGTTGATCATATTGTGGCGGATGGGGGGGCTGTTCCGGATCATTTCGAAATTTAGAACTTAAATAGGAACAATTTTCAGTTTTTGTATTAAGGTATGGGGCCCCACAGATTCTCGCTACGACCCTAAACTTTCGTTGCCAAGTCGGCTGCTAACTTCAGCGTCACACGTCCTGGTTTGTAACCAACTTCACATGAAAACAAAGTGAACTTCATTTTACTCATAAAAATGACAACAAATGTTTATAAAAAAAATGATCGAAGAGTCTGCTGTGTGCCAAACTGTAAAATTAAAGATAAATCAAATTTGTGCTTTCACAATTTCCCATCTGATGCGGCCTTGCGGAACAAGTGGATGGAGGTATTGAAAATCGACCGGCCTCATGACCGAGAAATGAGTTTGCAGTTTGCATTTTTCTGTAGATAACTTTACGAAACGAGGTCAGTATTATAAATAATTTATATTGAAAATTTATTGATTAGGAATGAGTATTAGATGTTAATTGTGGAGTAGTAGTCAAGAGCTAAAACGTTTCAAGTAACTGGAGAGAGATACAATCGTACTTGTCATCAATGTATTAAAAAAAAAATTCTGGGAGTTTGGATCATTCTCTTTTTCTACCTTCTGCACCTTCATGCAACAAAATTCCTCCAAATTCACTACCTGATTCTGGGGTAAATCAGCATTTAATTTCACCTTGCCCCATTGCTGTTTCAAGTCTGTACAGCTCAACATCTCCAATCTGTCAACTCGAATTCTAGATAAATCCAATATTTAAACTGCAGATTGCGTATACTCGAATATGACTGACGATCAGTACATGTATTGAAGTAGATAAAACGATCAAAAACAAAACAACACATGACTTTCCTTACCGATAAATATACAGAAGTGTCGCAAAAATGTGTTTACATTTTTCACCCAAGCCAGCTGGACAAGTACATTTTCTAATTATTTTCCTCAAACAGTAATTTTTATAGTTATTTCGTGGTAATTATTCGAATGTGACGATTGACGGCAAGCTGACACAATTTCTACGTAATTTTGTTTATAACTTTTGACACCACAGATGAGGATGTGTTCAGCTAATAATACCTCCTCTCCTGCTTGAATTGGTCTCCTAGTATCTCCTAGTAAGTCTCCAATATCACAAAATGTCAAATTGAACTTTGGATTGATATTCATATTTACAAAAGTCCAATAATAATAGGGTAATGGGAGGCAAAGATCTTAATTTCGTATAACCATACATATAGGCTAGTTATAGAAACCCTCAGTAGAACGCGAAAAATTGCTTTTGGCATCGCCAAACACCTGCACAAGTGTTATAACCGACTGATATATCAGTTGATGAATTACTAAAGGGTCACAAGGTAATTCATGCATTGAGTTTTCGGCATCCTGATTCAATCAACCATTGGAACTCGGAAAATCTGGCTTCAAACCCCGATTCTATGCTAGGGACCCCATGCTACCTAACCTTACGCGAGTTTTCCCTATGGACCACAGGCAAAACCGATCACAGACACATTCATCCGTACGCTGTATGTCCCCGGACTCCGCATTTGCCAACGACATCAACCATTGTTAAAGTGTCAAAATGTCTTGAGCAGTACTAAATAAAAAAAGAATCGTCAAACCCACGAAGATGTGAATTCTCGCGCATCAATGCTGAAATCGAAGTGACCAAGTCCATTGAAATACCTATGAAATGGCCCCAACGAGGGACAAATGGGTCAGACGATTTGTCATAACCGAAACTAGTCGTCACAAGCGAGGGTTTACAATTTACAAAGTCACGTCGCTGGTATGTATTACTCTTACTTTTCCGTCAGAAACCCATATGTATTCCATTCGTTCACTCATCTATTTGTTTGTAATGTTCACAGTTTCATTCCCGTTTTCTTCACTTCGTATTTATAGTCCAGTCGGTGGGCGTGAAAAATCGTGTTTGTCGTCGACTTTACGAGATTAGTGACCGATTTTGATGATTTTTTTTTTAAATGCTCAGGAGAGCATATAAATGAAATGTGGCCTAAAGGCAAGGTGTGCTTTTTGTTTATAAACAAAATACCTCTTGAATAGGCATCTTTTGATTGAAATATCTCGGAAACTATTGAGAAGTTATCGAGATATTTAGCGTAAATTATTTGGAGAATTTAACGACGAACAAAATGGTTTTTTAGTTATGTTTATACGACCAATAGTTTGCGAGATATTAACAACTGTTGGTTGGAGCGTGCTGCTGTGCGCGCGTTGCGTTATGAACAAATGGCTGTAAATCAGCCAAAAATCGATATTTTTTCATTTTTATTTTTTTGTTTTGAAATTTAGATAATTCTCATTATCATCAAATTTTTGTGAATTTTTTACAATCATTTTTAACAATTAATTTACCAAAAACATTGAATTTTTACAAATTTCAATTTTTACAAAAAAATGTTGTACGTTCGAGAACTATAAAAAAGAAATTATATATTTTTTTTTTTGTTGAAATAACCCGCGCATTTACTCTTGGTCTCTTCCAAAGAGGATAGACCTGAGTAGAGGCCCGGAACAGGGGGTTTAACTGACTCCAAAAATGTTAGTTGGTACCCCACGGGAAAGGCGGCGTCCCGGTCGAATTGTCGGTAAATGTGAGTCGGGTGCGTGAGTAACTCGGCAGTAGACTGGCGACAATATGAAAGTGATCTTTCCATCTAACCCCTACTTCCCCCACCACCGACGCGCGCATGCGCAATGCTGCGGGAGCACACCCTCAATCCGCCGGTGCTATTTTCTTGGGTTTTGAAGACGAAAATTTCGTGCAACACACAGCGAAAAAATCGACTTAAAAAAAAACCTTTTTCATCATTAAATCTACACTCATTAATCTATTCATCCATTCATTCCTTTAGCTCATTCATTCTTCACATTAATTCATCATTTAATCATTTTATTTTACAGCTCTTCATAAAAAAATATCGTGTTTAAAAAGTGTTCCAGTGAAGACTTGTGTCATTATTTGTTTAAATTAATTTTGTGGCTTAGCAAAAGTGTTTCAGGGATCCAGTGACATCGATAATTTTCTCTTTTTCATTGTGAACATTTAGAAGAAGTGGTAAGTAGAGCTGATATATTACTACATGTTTTATGGAATTATCGGGATTTCTAGGTTAGGTTTGTGTTTACCGGCCGGTGTTTGCTTAAATTTTTTGCAAACTCAAAAAAAAATCATTATTATCGGAAAATACAATTGAAAAAATAGGGAAGGGTGGGGCTAAATGGCCCAAAATGGATCCCTGATTCAATTTTTCGATTTTTGAGTTTTAACTGCAAATGATGTAGAATATGATGAAACGTCGAGAAATAACGTTTTTATGTTTATATTTTCTTTTCCGAAATCTAATTTCAGAGGCGATTTCGCTACAAGTACTGACAAAAAGTCTTTTTCGAAAACTAACGTTTTCTGAAGTAGGAAA